CACCGCTGGCGGGAGCCGCGCGGGCGGCTGTGGTTTGCTGCGTGATCTTAGCCGTGGCCGCCTCCTGCCTCGGAGCACACTCCTGGGTTTTCTGAGGTTGTTTTGACTGCCGGCTCTTGAGACTTCTTTTAGCATCCCAGACAGATTTCTTGTTTTCCAAATTTTCTGTTTTTCAGTGTTTCCACAGAGCTCTGATGTCTTTCAGAATTCATGGAGGGGGCAGTGTGATGTGAGGTTTTCTTTTTTTAAACCTCATAGGCAGCAGTAGTTAGTGATGAGCCCCAGGCAGGAAAACTGTCCAGAAGGAAAATGGAAACTAGTGCAGCCCTGGCCGCTGCTGGGAGATCAGCCGCAAACCTGTCCGGAGAGGCAGGGAAAAATGGCCATACACTGGAGTGTTTGGGAGCGGGGGGGTGAGCAGGGCTTCATCCCCACACCAACACCTCGTTCCCACCCCGCTCTCTTCCCCTGTGCAGGACGGCTCTTGCAATGGTCTGCAGCACTACGCAGCTCTCGGCCGGGACCTTATCGGCGCCATCTCCGTCAATCTGATGCCCTGCAGCGTCCCCCAGGACGTCTACAGTGCGGTGGCCCAGCAGGTGAGGCCCAGCAGGGACACGGGGCAGCATCCTCTTGGACCTGCCTCCCCCCTTTGCCGGTGTGTTGCACGGGTCACGCCAGTTCCCAAGGAGAAAGGCCGGGGTAAGACCAGTGTACAGAGGGCTGGGAAGGTGTGAGCTGGTCACAGGCAGAGCCTCTCCCTCCCTGAATGGGAACCAGTGCAGCAGCTGCAGTGGGGATCTGGCTGGAGATCTGTCCTGACAGAGGCAGCTATGAGAGATCCACTGGGATTTCTGCTGTCCTCACATCTCCCGAGTGAAGTCTGGGAGAAGGAGGGTAGAGACGTGGAAGAATCATCTCTTGATCAGAGCTGGCTGGCCCGCAGGTGATGAGATTTTCTTCATTGGAGCTGGGTAGGAGGGAGAGGGGAGAGATTCAGCCTTTGGCACTGCTGCCAAGTCTTCAGTTTTCTTGGCAAGACACGGTGTGAAATGAGGCTGCGGGGAGGTGCGCTGAGATCTACCAGGCTTGCTCAGCTGGCATTGCACCCCTGGCTCTCCCTTCTAGGTCTCAGCATGTTTTATCCAGGCAGCACCGCACCAGAGGGAGCACACGGAGGGCACATGGTTTGCTCAGTTATGATTGGAAGTGGCAGAGGCGGGAGAACCTGAGTCCTGAGCCACAATCCTGGTGCCATGTCCTTGTGGTGTCCAGCACCCAGCTGCCACGGGGCACTGCTCTGCTGGGCAGCAGTGGAAAGCTCTGGTCCCCACGGGCGCAGTTACCTGTGAGATCGGGGTGCCTCTTGATTCCTTCAGCAGATGATCTCTGTTAACCAGAGCTGGTGAAAATGGGCTGCAGGATTTCAGACGGGAGCTCAGGACAGGCAGTGCGCGCGGGGAGGGTCTCACATGGCCCCCCCGACCCTTCCCCCAGCCATGGAAGGGGCTCGGGCCAGCACGGCTCGCAGCGGGGCTGACGTGCCGGGGCGTTCTGCTCCTCAGGTGGAGGAGTTTCGGAAGAAGGATGCTGAACAGGGGGTGAAGATTGCCCAGGTCCTGGAAGGCTTCGTCAGCCGCAAGGTGGTGAAGCAGACGGTGATGA